AGAAGACATGGAAGAGCATTGGTGAATGATCACGATTACAGGGAGGAGGAGGTGAGACACCAGCAGTGGCGGGAAATAAAATCATATAATCGTCTTCGTTTTCATCAAGATACTTTAGACAGTTTTCAATCATAATGTTTTTTATATCACCACAGTTCTTCTCTATACGATCAGCGCTAACGACGTACCCTTGTTTCGGACGCTTACGACCGTTTAACAGGAGTGGGGGCGCGGCTATCGATTCATTAGAAATCTTATCGTCGGTATTTCCAACGTTAATATTCAAATAAATATAAGTGAAATAAAATAAACAGATTATAATTATTATTATGAACACGAATTTTTTAGTTACTTTAACCGATAATATCGACATTTCATAAAAAGCTTAAAAGTTAAAAGTTTGTTTGATTTTCATACTATGTGAATACAGAAGTTGAAACTTTTGAGGACGACCGGTAATTAAATACAGTATATATATAGTAAATAATGGAATATATTGTGACTAGAGATGGGCATCATGCACCTATCACTTGTATGGTGCTTAATCTTCACGGTAGTGTTCATCTATAAACCATTTATTCATTAGTTTATTAGATATCCTAAATTTAATATATAATTTGTAAAAGTAGATTAATAAATGGATAACCGAGTAATTTGGTAGATTTTCGGATTTACTTGACAATTACATGTTCTAAGGATCAGTAATATAAATTGGAGAAATTTTATTTTATTCGGCTGAAATAGAATTTCTTTAATTTATATTGTTGATTACCTTAGAACTTATAATCCCTAATACATCAGATAATTCGATTGAATTCGTTTGGATATCCAGTTTAATGAGATGAATATCCGGATATAATATGTCGGATAAATGGATGGCGAATTGGAACTTTAAGTAACCCTCACATATTATAACTTAGGCAAACGCTGACATCCAATGCGATTTTCATAATATTAATAATGTAACAATTAAGCCCTGTGCAATGATAAGGGGCGCTGCTCATCTCTAATTGTAACAGAATATTAGCGATCAAACGGTCAGCATAGTGTCTAATGCATATCTAATTATAAACTTAGTGCAGATCATAAAGTGATAATTATTAATCAAATTTTTTTATAATTAGCGGTAGTGTAGTGTAGTGGTAGCGTAAATAGTAAAAACATATAAAATTAAATCGCAATAACTCATGAACAGTAAATAAAATTATATTTGTTGGGTTCATATTAGTGTACACTTTAAAGTAACAACGCTTTTTTTTATTTTTATTCTTTGAAGCATAGTGGAGGGCTCAATTTTCATATTTTTAATAAGAGCATCAAAAAACGTAACTTTAAAATTTTTGTATTGTATTATGTAATGGTGATCGGCAAAAGATACAGAGTTACGTTTTTGATGATTTTATTAAAAAAAATCAAACCGACCATTTTGCATAGCCGCTATGCTATGCAGGAGAATTAATTCTATATATTTGTGTAGAAATAATTCTAAAATCGATCTGCATGTAGAATTGACGTAATTTCACATAAGTGTAGAATTGTAGAATTGATGATTAGTAATTTTAGTACGTAATTCTACAAAACTTGTAGAATTGTGATCATATAATAAATATGCAAATGTTACGTTTTTGATGTCTGTAATTCAAATTTAGAGTTTTGCTATTTTTTAACTTTTAATTAATTAGATTTATTAGTGGTCTCCATGAGCAATTAAATTTGAAGTTATAATCACCTCATTTATTTGCTTTGCGGCCCAAAACCTGAAATCTTCTATGAATTAAGATATTCTCTGATAAATTACTAGTAAACTAATAAATATAAAGTTTAGCAATGTTTTAATACTTAAAAGCTATAATAAGGATTTAAAAAGATGAAGCCTAAAAGCGAAAATTTAATATTTATATGAATCCGTCCAATAAAAATTTTTAAAATCAAACTATTTAATAGCCTTTTCAAATACAATTCTAAAAAGTGAAGATAGTTATGTTGTAATTCTAATCATATTTTGAATCTATTTAATTAGTCTTAAAAACAAATCTACTTATATCATAATATTATAATCTTAAAAAGAGTAAAATCAATTTTCTAGCTCATTAATTAAAAATAAAACAAATAATCGATCTTATATAACAACCATGTTTTTTAACTTGTTATCGCATGTGTTTACAAATTATTTATCAAATATGAAAATATTTAATATAAATACTTTTAAGATAACTAACCAGCACAGTTTATATTTGATAAAGTATGAAAGTGTTCGAATTTAGTTGTTTTATTACATTTAATGAATTGAATAGTAATTGTTTTTTTTTTAAAAAAAAAAATTATCGAACAAGTTCATAGTAATAAGACGTCTATAACTTCAAACTCAGTTACTAATAGAATATCGGCTTATTTGAAATTTCAAATGCCTTATCGACCACAAATATAAATATGCTAATAAATCTAGCAAGCTAATTAAAAGCTTTAATGCAGTCAACTTTTTCTTTAATAAAAATCCTAAGATATCAAAAAAGTAACTTTTGCACAGTATATGATCGGCAATTCTACATAGTGACGTAAATTCTATATGTAGACTAAAATTATTAATGATGATCAATTCTCACATTGTACGAATTATTTCTACATGCATTACTACTTCAAACAATAAAATAAAAGTATAATTTTATTTATGCGGGTTTGCTTGTTCAAGAGTTATTGCAATTTAAATTTTATAGGTTTTTACTATTCACTCTACCACTAATTATAAAAATATTTGATTAATGATTTTCACTATATACTTGCAATTAGATATGCATTAGACACTAGGGTGTGTAACGGCCTATTAAAATCGAACATAGGCAGGGTCAAGTATAATGTCAAAGATTTTTCAGGGTAATGATTTAACTAAAGGATCTGCAAGTCGCAGCACATATGTTTTGTGAAAAAAAGATAGTTTTCATCTATAAGCTAACATTTATATCTTACAATTTAATTGGTCTTTTTATAACAAAAAAAAATTATTATTTCATATTTTTATACGTACTATCTATGTTTTTTTTTCCTTTTACGGCAAAAATTTTTGAAGTATCTTATTTTAAAAATGGCGTTTTGAGACTATCGATGAAATCAAACTCGAAATTTGGTTGGCATCAGTGTTTCGGCCTAAACCTCCCACCAAAGTCCGAAACGTTTCGGTTTCGCCCAAAATCCGAAACCTCCGAAATGGCCGAAACCTCTGAAATACCAAAACCCTCTGAACTCTGCATTCCAAACCCTCAAGTTTCGGACCTTTACTCGATTTTTGCTCTCCACCTTGCTCGTATTTTACGTTCATTGATTTTCTACTCGGAATATTTCGGAAGTTTCACCCAATTTTGGAGGTTTCGGCCAGTTTCGCCCAATTTCGGAGGTTTCGGCAGTTTCACCCAATTTCGGAGGTTTCGCCCACTTTCAGAAGTTTCGGCTAGTGTCGGATGTAACTTTTATGCTTATTTATACGTGTTTTTTTCACGTGATCCAAAAATCTTCGTATTTTATTGGCTATTTGGAAGTTTCGCCCATTTCGGAGGTTTCGCCCAGTTTCGGAGGTTTCACCCAGTTTTGGAGGTTTCGGAAGTTTCGGATTTGAGACTTCTGGCCAGGGACCCGTGAAATTTTAATTTTATAAACTCGGATATTTTTCTGATAACAATAAAAAATTTAGCCAAATTTTAGCTTGAATTTAGTAAATTTTAGATAAATTTTGATTTAAATTTAGTAAATTTTAGATAAATTTTGATTTAAATTTAGTAAATTTTAGATAAATTTTGATTTAAATTTAGTAAACTTTTAT